AAAGGTGTCCAAAGGAAAAGTCAACTCTGTCATCCACTGGGGAACGTAAAGGAGCAACGCGTGCGTACTGTCCCAGAAATCCGGGGCTTAGTCGCTTGCTAAGCAGATTGATTTATTGGCGTTAGTTTCTTTATAATTTATTTTTTTACTAGAAGGTTCAAAGCTGGGAGATACAGAGCAGAAAAGAGCTGTTGAAGGGCGTTTTTGAAAGGTGTCTCGTGCCATAAGCTGTTCAGGGAGCCAGCACAGTCTTCTCGGAAGGTTTTGGGAAGCTGTGCTTTCCGAGGTCACCTCCCCAGGACGGCAGACTTCCCAGTCCAGTGACGCTTTCACGGGCTGCTCTGTTACCTGAGGCCAGAGAGCATCCCTGCTTAATGTCTGCGCGGTGCGTGACTCCAATTTACTGCATGAAAAACTGCTTTGGCTGGCCCAGGGGTGCTTTGTTCCCATGGCTAAAATAAAAAGTGTACGGCCTCTAAGTCAAAGCCTCGTCCCTACAGGTGCTGTTTGGCATAGCCTTCTGGAGGGAAGGCTGCATGCATTTAATCTCTATCTGACTTGAGTTTAGGGGTGGCAGAGTTGTGGTCCGTGTCCTGGTCCATTCCTTCTCCCCTCTGGCCACAAAGCCGGCCCGGGGTCCCTTGGGGACAAGGCGGTGATGAAGGCTGTTGGAGGGCAGCCCCGTCCTGCCCCCGGCTGGCCCCCAGGCGCTCTGCGCCAGGCTGGGGGGTTCTGGCGATGGGAAAGCAGGAGAAATGCCTGCTGGGGCAGCCAGGGCAGAAGCCTTCACACCCGGGAGGGGACGCTCCGAGCTCCGGCCTCCCGCTGGGACCTGGCGCATCCCTCTCGTCGTAGTCCCGGGACGGGGCGCCCGGTTGGTGCTGCCTCCTGTGCGGTATGGCTTTCCCTGGTGTGAAGACGAGGAGATGGACTTGGAGAGGAAGGGTAACGCTGGACTTGGCCCTGGTAGAGGTCTGTCACACTCAGTAGGAACTAAGTAAGGCTCCTGCATTCTGTGACTTGGTTTAATAAAAGAAAAAATAAAAAATAAAAAAAAATCTGGGCTTTAACTGGTGTTGCTGCTTTAAAATCTGTGTCGGAATTTGAACAAGCAAATTAATAAAAGCAATAAAATACAAGCAACGCACAGAAGGACGATGCTTGCTTCAGTAGCTGAAGCGGCAGGATTCAGGGTAGCGCTCGGCTTTTGGGGTGTTGCGGTGCCGGGGGTGCCTGCTGAGGAGGAGAGCCTGGCGCGGCAGGGTGGTGCTGGGCAGGGGCTGTGGCCCCTCAGCCTTGGAGCGGCACCGGCTCCGGAGCGACCCTTGTCGGCAAGAGCGCGCTCCCGGGCGTTGCTTTTATGGCTGGT